TATATATATATATATATATATATATATATATATATATATATATATATATATATATATATATATATATATATATTAAAACTTTTTCATATTCTTCCGTTACGAGAATTATGATTATAATTAAGTAAAGAAAAAATATCAAGTTTGAAAATTTATTTTCTGAGTTGAAACTTATGCACTTAAATTTGTTCGTAATTATCACTAATTCTCGGTTAACCTTATGATGTTTAAATATAAGTTTTTATTTACATAAGATTAGATTCATTTATATTTATGATCCATTTTTTGTTTTCTCTACAATTCTCGCTCAACCTTTATTTTTTATGGGCATCAAGGGTGAATCACCATTCAGCTTCTTTTAAATAATGTTAGGATGAGTCAGATCATCCTCAGATTCAAAAAAATGATAGAGCAAAGTCATTTGGTTTTCGTGACACATTGACTTGACTCACAAGTTCACGATTACTTCTATCACAACCCTAGTAGCCAAGAATGCAAATATCATTCTAACTTAAGATTCTTATGGTTTTTGAATGCAGGAGAATCATGAATTAATAGTTTTTGTCGACTCTTTGATCTTCGAAAAGAACGGTTATTTTCTTTTGAACAATTTTAGTAAGTATCATTGGTACAAATCCATTTTATTAATTGATTTATTGATATTTTTAGCCATAGTTAAGATCTCATTCTAACATAAAATTCTTGTGGTTCTTTGAGTGAAAGAGAGGAGAAACAAGAATGGAAGGTTTTTATTGATTGGTTGATCTGAAAAATGGACAATAATTCTCTTTTCTGAATATTTTAGTAAGTACTAGTCTTGGACACGTACAACGCACGTGTATCCCATACTAATTTATATTAAATAATTAGAATTAATAATAAATGTATTTTCAAATAGAACAAAGCTTCATAATTCTCACAACCCAAAATGAGTCGTGATTGACACCCACACTTAACCTCCTAGGTGGGCGAACCAAGGAATCAAAACCCCAACGTATACCAATAATTTAACTACAAATAATAAAAATAATGCGAAAACTGCAAAACTTATCAAAGTAACTAATCAGATAAACCTCTAATGTATGTTACATATTATCTCGAAAATCTGAAAGTCATCATAACAAGGACATCTAATCTCCAATTACTAAGTCTAAGAGTATCAGAGACACCAAAGTAAATGAAAAGTAGTAATTTGTGTTCGAAAACTAAGGACATCAGATAATGACCAAAAGAATTCGACCCGAGCTCGAATGAATAGCTCACCCTTGAAGCTGATATGATGTGACTTGCTAGAGCTGTGGTCGAGACAAATTTCCTGGTACACTAGCTGCACTCCATAACAGAAAAACAAAGAAAAATACTAGTTAGGCTCAGTACGGGGCAACATGTACTGAGTAGGTATCATCGGTCAATCCAAAATAGAAACTAATATTCAAAGAATAGTAGGAGAACTCAACTATGACACTTAACATGTGGTAAGCAACAAAAAGCATGAACAAGCGACTACATAATCAATCACAATATTAAGCACACTCGTGAGGACTCATGCCTCCATGCCACACTCATTTGAGAAATAGGTTGTTTGAGATTGAGTACATTAAGTTAATTCATACATTTTCCTTTAATGTTGTTGTGTCAGAACGTGACAATCCGATCTAAAAATACCGTGTTGAAACATGACTATCCGATCCAAGAATACCGTGTCGGAATGTGAAACTGCGGTCCAAGAATAACGTGTCGGAATGTGATACTCCGATTCAATTATACTGTACCGAAATATGACACTCCGATCCAATTATACTGTGTCAAAATGTGACACACCGATCAAATTATACCGTGTGGGAACGTGACACTCCTATCAAAATTATACCGTGTTGGAACGTGACACTCCTATCAAATTATACGATTAATTTATCATTTATTATCACTACTTTTAATTCATTGATAATATTTCATCAAGCCTTCTTTATTCAAGGCATAAGGATTCAAGAATATAAATTTCATGGTCTTAGAATTATAGACCAATCACAAAACACACAATAAAGCAAAACAATAAAACATTCACACAATCAAGTACATAGAAAACTTTACAATATTAATCAATGCATATCAATCACTATTAAGAGTTAACTATCAAATAGCATAAACCATACCTTCACCGAAGAACCGAAGTCAAGCAAGCTACTTATCCAATGCTTTTCCTTTCCTCATACCTCTGAACCTTTCCAATCTATCAAGTATCTATGCATAATTTGTATGTTAAAGAGTCTATAAACACTCATATTATTTTATGCCTAGCCTAGACTCAAAAACTCACCTAATTCTATAATAAATTTCCTAAAGTTCAAACCTAAATATAGGTCTGAATTCCTCCAATTAACATAACTTTAATAGAATTCAAATAATTTGATACACCTAATATTTAATTACCCATATCAATGTATCAAAACTTAAATCACAGTATGATAATCAAATAGTTCTTTTAAAAAAAACAGCTCAAAAATTCATGAAACTAGTGACTATAACTGCAAATTAAAGCCTAGTGTATTTGTAACCTTAATCTAATATGATATGCCTGATCATTGATTTGTTTCTAATAGTTATCCAATCACACACCACTTACCGTTAATCCCAATAGATAATTATCAACAATAACAATATGTTGCCTCAATTTAATGAGCCGCCAAAGCATCAAAGTCTCAGATCCAATTTTTCTTTACCGTACCAAACATATTGCAATACCAATGGACTCTATACATATTCATAACAAATAGAACTTAATCTAATTTCAAAAATTATTACTTTGGTTACTGGTCACTGACATTTGTCTCAATTTTTTCAATCAAATTCATGTGGGTTTTAAAGAAATAACAATCCATCGGTTTCTTCTTAAACACATTACAATACAATAATCTACTTATATAAGTAATAATCTAATATTGAAAGATGAGAAATTTAGATCACTAGAAGAGCTTACGACTTTTCTCATTCAACGCCACTTTCTGAAATTTTCTTGTTCCCCTCTTTTTTTTCTTCTTCTTCTATAGATCATTTATTTACACTAATTATTATATGACTAATTATAAAAATAGTAAAAGTGATTTACTACTAATTATAATATTATTTTCTTTATACACAAAATAAAATAATTAATTAAACTGAGCCCCTTAATTTTATAATTATTGTTACGAATAGTCCAAAATACATATTTAAAATCTTGAAAGAGTCTTTTATAATATAAAAAGTTCTAGTACTCAAAAAGACCAAATTAGTCATTACAATAATTAATAGAAATTTCATTTTGACCTATGAAAGTATCTTTGCAATGAAAACATTTTTCTAACCTGAAGCTTTTGTTAAGACCTTATTGGTTAAAGGCTAAAGGTTACAAGAAAATTAAAAATAAAATATGCTATGAAATCACGTGAACATACAGCTAAATACCCGAAACATGTAATAAAAATAGCAAACTGTAAGGATAAGAACAGTGACCTACATACTTGATAACAATTCATATTTCATTTATAGAAATGAGATGATAAAAATAAAAAATTAAAAATAATTGAGTTAGTCAAAATTCTTATTGGTACAACAATTTCTTCTTTCTACTATCCAAATCACTCCACCTTAAATAATGAAAATACTAAATGTTGAGTTTTGGATTGAAACCCCATCACATATCCATATATGTAAAAATATTCATAATTTTACATTAATAGTAAATAGTAAATATATCAAGTCAGTTTAATTGGACTAACTTTTTAGTTTCTCAAAAAACAGTTACACTTCCAACAATGTGCATGTACAAGTATTTACTATAAATCATTTAATGAAAATAAATTAAATACTATGAAACAACCAAGGAATATGCAAGCTTGTGAAAAACAATTAATAGGTGAGAAAAAGAAAAATTAAAATAATTCGTAGTAAAATTGAGGTAACTCGTATGGTTATAAATGAAGGTTTAGATACAAAACATATTTATAAGTTACATTACATGTTCTCATAATAGGTGAAAAAAATAAAATTGACTCAAAAAAAAAGAAATTGTACAATTTTACATTTGTGTAAGAAGTTACTTACAAAAGTACGTAATGAGATAATAAATTAGTTTCACACATTAAGGGAGAATTGAATGAGGAGGTTAAAATATGTTTGTTGAATTTTCCATTTACTCACTATTTATGTTATTAAACACTACTATTCAATATGATTTTAATGCAATGAAGGACCGCATATTTTGTACTTGTGGTGAAGTTGCATTTAACCTTCAAGTAATTCATATATGATTGTATAATATTTAATTAAATGTTATATGATATTTTGATGATAAAAGATAATATAATATGATATTATTAAATATAGAATAATTTATTAAGTCTTTAAAAAGGGGTGAAAATGTCTATCAACTTTCTATGGACATTTCGTCTTTATTTTTTTTCATTTAATACTATCCCACTTTGAGCATTTACTATATGATATGCTTTTTATTTGATATTCAATTAATTAGATGTGTTATAATTTTTTATTGAGTGGAGGGGCATTATGTATAACGATGATGATGAATTATACATCGTTTTATACGTCAGAACTTTTGATATTCTTCCATTACGAGAATATAATTATAACTAAGTCAAGAACAAAATATCATGTTTGACTACTTATCTTTTTAGTTGAAACTTATGCTCTTAAATTTGTTCGCAATTATCTTTATGTCTCAGCTTACTTTCTGGTGTTTAAATATAAGTTTTTCTTTACATATTATTAGAGTAATTTATATTTATGAACCATTTTTTATTCTCTCTAAAGTTCTCCCTCAACTTGCATTTTTTGTGGGCATCATGGGTAAACTACTATTCAGCTTCTATAAATAATATTAGGATAGTTCCACTAATCACTAGAATTAAAAAAAAAGTGACAGTTTAAACTAATTTGATTATTGTGACACATTGACTCGACTCATAAGTTCTCCGATTATTTCTATCACACCTGTAGTAGTCAAGAGTTGATATTTAAGGAGAATCATGAATTGATGGTTTTGGTCGACTCTTTGATCTTAGAAAAGAATGATTATTTTCTTTCGAATGATTTTAGTAAGTATCATTGGTATAAATTCACTTTATTAATTGATTTATTGATAATTTTAGCCATACTTAAAATCTTATTCTAACTTAAGATTCTTATAGATTCTTGAGTGTAGGAGAAACAAGAATTGAAGGTTTTTTTCGATTTGTTAATATGAAAAATGGATAATGATATTCTATTCTTATGATTTTAGTAAGTACTAGTCTTGGACACGTGCAACGCACGTGTAGCCCGTACTAATTTATGTAGAATTGTTAGAATTAATGATATATGTATTTTCTAATAGAACAAAGTTTTATAAATAATAGAAATTTCATTTTGATCTACGAAAATATCCTTGTGATGAAATATTTTTCTAGCATGATGTTTTAGTTAGAGAACTGACTGGTTAAAGGCTAAAGGTGATAAGAAAATTAAAAATAAAATATACTATGAACATGATCATCCAGCGAATTACATGCAACAAGTAATAAAATTAGCAAAATAAAAGATAACAATAGTGACCTACATACTTAATAACAATCCATATGTGCTTTATAGAAAAAATAAGATAAAAATAAAAAATTAGAAATAATTGAGTTAGTTAAAACTCTTACTGGTACAACAATTTCTTCCTCTGCTATTCAAATTACTAAACCATAAAAAATTAATTACAATACAATGAGTCTTGGATTGGAACCCCATTACATATCCTTAATAGTAAATTTTTTTCATAAATTTACATTAATAGCAAAGAATAAATATCAAGTTTATTTAGTTGGACTAGCTTTTTAGTTTCCCAAAAAACTATTACATTTCTAAAAAATGTGCATGTGCAGAAGTATTTACCATAAATCATTTCATGAAAATAAAAATATTGTGAAAATAACAAGGAATGTGGAAGGTTGTAAAAAACAATTAATAGGTGAGAAGAAGAACAATTCAAATAATTAATAGTAATAATTGAGGTAATTCATATGCATATAAATGAAGTTTATAGATGCAATGCACATGTATAAGTTACATTACATATGTTCATAATAGGAGAAAAAATAAAATTGACTCATTAAAGAAGAAATTGTGCAACTTTTCATATGTGTAACAATTTACTTAGAAAAGTATGTAATGGGAGAATAAATTAGTTCCACACATTAGGGAGAATTTAATGTGGAGGGTTAAAATATCATAGTTTTATTTTCTATTTACTCACTATTTATGTTATTCAAACATTACTATTTAATTTAATTTTAATTTAATGAAAGACCACAAATTTTGTATTGTGGTGATGTTGCATTGAACCTTTAAATAATTAAAATATGATTGTGTAATATTAATTAAAATTTCTATGATATTTTTATTTATTTGCAATGGTGAAGTTGTAATTCGACGTAGATGATAAAAACTAATACAATATGATATGATTAAATATAGAATAACTAATTAAGTCCTTAAAAATGGGTAAAAATGTCTATCTATTTTCAATGGACATTTTTCGTCTTTCATCTTTTTGATTTAGTACTATCCTATTTTGAACATTTACGATATGATATGTTTTTTTTATTGAATATCCAATTACTTAGATGTTTTATAATTTTTTATTGAGTGGAGGGACAATATATATAATGATGATGATATCTACACATTGTTTTATCAATTAGAACTTTTCAAATGCTTCCTTCACGATATTATGATTATAATTAAGTAAAGAACAAAATTTCATGTTTGAATACTTATATTTTGTGTTGAACCTTTTTATGATATTTTACAAAATGATGTTAAAGTTACTTAAATTTATTTTTTATTTTTTAAAAGAACTAACAAAATACTATAGATTGTTATAAGTAAATATAATTTATGTAAATAAAGAAACACATGCAATAGATAAATTTTTGATAAAATGACAAAAAAAATAAATTCTACCTCTAAATGATGAATACAAACGGATATGGCAATTTCACCTATTTATTTATTTTCTTAAAAATTCATAAAGCAAACCCAAAACATCATATTTTGAGTTTATACTTTTCATGATTATTTAAAATAATGAAGTTAAAGTTGCTTAATCTTAAAAAAGAAAAAAAAAGAAATATAAAATGTATTTATGCATATTAGGAAATACTTATAGCCAGTGAATAGGGGTGTTCATGGTTCGGTTTGAATCAGTTATTGCTTAAAACCAAAATGAAATCAAGCTAGTCAGTTTTTTAAATTTTCTAAACCAAAGCAAACCAAATGACAAAAAAAATAATCATCGGTTTGGTTATTTACGTTTTGGTTCACTTTTTCTAGTTTCTTCAGTTTGATAGTACTAATTTGTTAGGACATATGTATCTTGATAAACACAAATACCTAATATATGAATAATCTACTGAAAAGTTATTGTTGGTTCAATTAAGCAATTAAACAATATTAAAGTTATTAATACACGAATAAAGTGCTTCAATTAAGAGAAGGTGTACCTATATTTTGAAATGTATGGTAGATAAAGACTAAAATAATGAATTTTGATGAACTTGGACTTATGATTGTAATAGATGGACTAAAATTTATGTTGAGTTTGAGTGAATTCTAAGTTAAAGACTAATGTTACTTAATATTTAACAAACTATTTATATTTGATTTATGAATAATATATTTATAAAATTTATTGGTTTGATTTGATTGTTTTTTAGTAAAACCAAAGTAAAATAAAATAGTATCAAATTATCGAAATGCAAAATCAAACTTAACCAGATCAAACCAAAAAACAATTTTTTAATTGGTTTGATGTGAATTGCAGTTAGATCTGATTTTTTAACCATAATCACAAACAACCCTACCGGTGAATATTAACATATATGACAATTTCATTTATTTATTTATTTTCTAAAAATGGCATATATCCCAACTAAATATTATGTTGAGTTTATCATTTATATAATTCTAAAAAATGAAGTTAAATTTCATTTG